TGGGGGGGCTGGAACCACCCCTCAGGCTCCCTCCTGTGGTGCAGGGCAAATGGGTAACTGCGCCTCCTGCTGGCACCTCCTGGAACTCATTTCTGGGTGGAAGAGCCTCCCATGGAGGCTCTGGGTGCCGTGGGCCTACCTTCTCCCCGGTTCTCCCCGGGCCTTTGTCTGCAGCTGCTTTGTGTGGTTGGTTCCCGCCCACTGGTGTGACAGGCAGCTAGGAAGTGGGAATGGGACGGTGCCCTGGCATGTGATGCCTGGCGGCCACCACTCACTCCACAAGTCAGGTGTCAAGCTCCGCTGTGCCAGGCGCTGCTGCCCAGCATGAATCAGAGGCAGGCCCCCTTCCAGAGCTGACATTCTAGCGCCCTGTCCTCACCCTGCTTGTAGGATCATCTAGGAGCTTTTCTAAGTGCCCGTGCCCAGGCCCCGTCTGGTGCCACTGACGTCACTCTGGGCGCGTCAGCCCCCTGCTTCGTAGAGCTGGCCAGGTGATTCGGGTGCGCAGCAGGTGCAAGGAGGTGGGGGAGGAGCAAGTCCCTCTTAGCAATCATGGGCTTAATTGACCCAGGCCGACCTGACTAATGCCCTTGGCCTGCTGACCGCTCCCAGCCCGTGGGCGGGTCTCTAGGTTGCCCTTGTACTTCCGCTCCGTCTGTGAAGCTGATGCTTATCAAGAACCAGCTGTTCGTTACAAACCTGTTTGTGGTCGTTGTCCTTGTAATTACATACAGTCTGTCACCGGTGGCTGACACTACACTTTCCGTCCAGAAGACAAAACAGGCTGGGCGCTTAACGTGTTAATAGTACGTGGAAAATGAAGCAACAAGGATAGCGGAAAGCCCGGCTTTACAGCTGGGACAGGCACGCTCATATAGCCGAGGAGCAACTGCGCTGGGTGTGAACTCCGCTCCGCATCTGAGCTCCGAAGCTGTGCGGACCTCAGTGAGTGGGGAGCCGTGGTTTCCGTCAGTACCTCTCTGACCACTTTGGCATGATTCTGGAATCACTCACCTAATGTTCCTGCCCATGTGTCACCTTGGTGTGGACAACTGGAAACGTTTTGTAAAAATGCAGGAGGAGCTCACACTGGTGTCTTTAAATTCTTGTTCTGCTTCCACGAAACCAAACGATACAATCCCGGAGCTCTGGCCACACTGACCAGGAGAAGACCCTGGCCCTCCCTGCGGCAGGAAGACCATCGCTTTCACCACCTCTTTTAGTCAGTTGCTGGCAGATCAGAACATTCTGCTGAAGGGACCACCATGCAGAGAAGTGGGCTGGGAGGGGGAGAGGGGGAGGGTGCTGTTGGTGCCGGTGGCAGCGCCTGGCCTGGGCCTGAGGGGACGCCCCTGGAGGAGAGAGGTTTGCGTGGAGACAGGGAGACGGTGTCAGAATTAGAATTGGGAGTCGGGGTTCTGTGGCAGGCGCCAGGCCCCAAGGACAGGGAGGGAACTGTTTTCAAGGACAAATTAATTTGCCTCAGTGTTTTATGGTCTGGAACTGGTATTACCCACAAGCAAATAGGTTCGCCGCCGCGAACATTTGGTTGTGGATTGCTTTCAGTAGTTAATGTTTGAGAGGCAAGTTGCAGGACCAAACCGGTTTGCAGGCTCTCCGCCGCCGTTTGCGAATGAGACTCCTGCATGGGTGGCTGCACGGTGGCGTCTGAAAAGGCACGTTGTACAGACAGTGAAATGCACGGGCCTCACGTGCAGACTGAGGCCCTTTTGAGGAACCGAGAGCACAGAGGCCGCAGAGGGGAGGCAAGAAGCCTGACAGGCGATGCGGAGCCGCCTCAGACACGGCCGCAGTGACCGCAGGCAGGCGTCGGCGGGGGCTCGTCCAGGGGGCTGCGGTCCAGAGGGGAATGGAGAAGCGTTGGGTCTGGCTGCGCCCTGGAAGGGGCGGCCTTCAGGTTGTCCCACGATGGGGGTATTGCTGCCGCCTCTCCATCCCACCTGCCCCAGAGAGACCCAGGCTGGGAGCTGCCCACCAGGAGCGTGCAGGCTGCTGTCGCTGGCACATCTCTGGGTGAGATTGAAGCCAGCCTGGGGCTTGGCCCAATTGGCAGGTGGGGTGGGGTAGGGAGGGCTCAGGGTGCGCCCCTTTGCCAAGGAATGGGGAGGAGCCAGCCCCCTGAGGACAGGGACAGTGTCTTGTTTGGACACAGCAGTTAGGTACTGTCTGGCCTGGAGGAGGAAAATGCAAATAAACCAGCCAGCCAGCCCTGTGGCCTCCACCTCTTGGCAGCTGGACCAGGAAGCTAGAATCTTTTCTAACAAAGAGGTTCAGGCCCGGCCACCCTCAGGAAGGGACACCATTATTTTTTTTTTTAATGTGGAACGTTTCACGAATTTGCATGTCGTCCTTGCGCAGGGGCCATGCTAATCTTGTCCGTGTCGTTCCACTTTCAGTGTATGTGCAGCCAAAGCGAGCGCGGGAAGGGACATCCTTGCTGTGGGGGAAAACTTGCTTAAGGAAAAGTCGCACGGGGACTGGGCGCTGCGCTGTTGGAGCAGCTCCTGGACGGGGGGCTTCCGGGGACCCTCCAGCCGGGGAGGGTGGCGGTGGTGCAGGGACTGAGGGAGGCAGGGCCCCCCTCCCCCCCTCCCACCTTCCTCCTGGAGTTTTCCTTCGGGAGGGAGACCCGGCTGGGCCCCACCGCTCACAGGAGGTTATTCTGAGCCAGTTCAGGGTTGGGTGTTTGGGATGTGGGGCTGGTTGGTGGAGGTAATGGAATCAGAGCCTTCACTCTGGAAGGCCCCGGGCTGGGTGTGGCAGTGCGGGCTCTGCAGCCGGCGGGCTGGGCCCAGAGGCGGCTCTGCCACTTTGCAGCTGGTTGAACGCAGACAAATTATCTAGTGTCACTAAGGTTCAATTTCCTCCTCTTTAAAATGTGGTGCTAGTGTTACCTACAGCGTTGTCATTGCGATGATTACATGAACTTACCTGAAGACAGTGCCTGAGCGTGTGCAGTGTGAGCCCTCAGCGGGTTTCTGTGGCCTTTATAGCCACACCATCATCATTGTTGTCATCATTCTGAATCCCATTCTCCGGGGGGCGGGGTTGAGGATACAGGCAGATTCTTGGACTTCTTTTATTTTGTACAGAAGCACTTCCTCTCTGAATCTTCCATCGAAACCAAACCCACAAGTCCCTGGACACCAGGAAGTGGAACTAGCCAGAGAGCTTCCCCGCCCGCCTGCCAGCTGGAGGGGGGGGGGAGTGGTGGCAGGGCTGGCATCCCCTCCCCACCCCCTATTTTCTGGGCCACGGGCTTCTGCCCTCAGGCGGCCAGAGCATGGGCTGCCCAAGATGACAGAGGCATGTGCAAAGTGCGGACCTCTTTATGGCCCTGGGGACCAGCGGGGACGGAGGGGAGGTGCCCTGGGAGCCTCTGCCTCCCCTGCCGTCATCCTGGGTTTGCACCCACGTGCCATGTTCTCTGGAAGAGAGGGCGGACTGAAGTGGAGGCAGGACCTCTGCGGAGCTGTTAGCACGTGCCCCGCGCCGTGACAAGTGCCTGACAGGTCATCTTAGGTCACCCCGAGAGCGCACCCCGGGAGGCAGGGACCAGGACTAGCCCAATTCCCAGGGAGAAAGCGCGGCTCGGGAAGGTCGCATCACTGACCTGCATTCCCACAGCTGGAGTGCTGGGGCGAGGGTTTGAACCGGGCAGTCGGGCGCACAAGCAGGGAAAGGGCGAAGGCGTCGGGACGCAGGTGTGGGCAGAACTGGGGCCCGACCCCTCTCTTACTCCGGCAGCTGGGGGAGACCAGAGGCCTGAGCCTCTAGCGCGAGGGTGCAGGCTCCAGTTAATGGCAGTGACAACTGGTAAGTGGCGTTTCTGAGCCAGCACCTGCCTGGGACACACGCTGCGTCCATCGCTGCCCAGTGGGCGTCTGGGAGCCAGAGCTCGTCAGCAGCTGGTGCTTGACAGGCATCGCCCTGCACCCGCCACTGGTTCCGCAGCATTCCCGCCCGGTGGCCCGCCAGCTTTCACGGCACAGGGAGCGCTGGTCACGCCCCTGGTCCTCGGGCACGTGCCGCTGCTCATGCACAGAGCCCAGCCCAGCGAGTCTGATGCCCAGAAACATAGAACGAAAAAGCTTTTACTGGAAAGAAACAGGCAGATACTGGACTGGGATATTGACAGGCGCCCTCTCCGGCAGGGAGCGTGGGCCCAGGGGCTCTTGCACTAAGTCCCCGCGACTGGGCGGCTCCTTTTTGGCGTGGTCAGCAGAACCCCAAGGCCAGCTCCCCCGGGTGCGGGCTGTTCTCCATCGAGGTTTGGGGACCCCGCTTCCGTGTTTTGTTAAAAAGTGCGGGTAGGCCAAGATCCCCGGCGGTTTACTCTGTCCTTGAAATGGTGGCTCCTCCTTGGCACCGCGCTTTCGGCAGGTGGAGGTCCTGTGACTACAACGGCCCTTGTTTCCTGGACAAGCCCCCACGTGCCCTGTCCGGTTCCTGGGCGGGGCCAGAGCTGTGACAGTGGATTTGGTCTCGAGGAGTCAGGGCTGGGGGGCCAGGCCGACGCCCGGGCGTGGCGTCAGCCTCCTCTCCAGCTTCTCGGTCAGCTCTCCGTCCTCATGGTGGGGACACGGGCCGCACCTGGGCCTTCCTGGCCCTGGGCTCAGGGCAGCAGCACTGGGTGCAGCAGCAGCTACAGGCGACCAGCAGCAGCAGCAGCACGGTGCCTGGAGGGTCGGGGAGAGGCAGAGGGCATAGACTCCGAGGTGGGAAGAGAAGGAACGCCCACCTCTTCCCAAGAAGCCCCTCTGGAGGTGTGGAGGGCCTCTGCCCGCAGCCGGGCACGCTGGGCAGAAATTCCCGAGGATCTCCATGCCGGCCGCTGGAGCCCGGACCTCCTCCCTGTGGTGCCTTCTCTGCCTCCCGGAGCTCCTGTCCCTCCATCCCTGGGGCAGGATGCTGGGTGCCTCTGGTCCCAGCACCACCCAGCCCATCCCCTGAGGCACGTCCCCAGACCAGGGGAAATGCCTCGTTTCCCCCCAAGAGACATCTGCTTCCCCTCCTCTGCCTGGGAGACACCGAGCCACTCCGCCAGCCCTCCGGCCAGCACCGTGGTCTCCCTACTCGGCCAGCCCTCCGCCAGCACCGTGGTCTCCCCTACTCCGCCAGCCCTCCGCCAGCACCGTGGTCTCCCTACTCCACCAGCCCTCCGCCAGCACCGTGGTCTCCCTACTCCGCCAGCCCTCCGGCCAGCACCGTGGTCTCCCTACTCCGCCAGCCCTCCGGCCAGCACCGTGGTCTCGCCTCCCGGTGCCGGGAAGAGCAGAGGAGAACCCGAGAGCCCGACTGACCTGTGAAGAGGAGGATGACCGAGAAGGCCACGATCTCCACGGGCTCGGCCTGCGGCAGCCTCTGTAGCTTGAGCAGCAGCCTCTCACCCACCCAGCGCATCTCCTGCACGAAGTCGGTGGCCCCCATGCTGGTCAGCTCCCGGGTTCCTGCCGGCTCTGCTGCAGAGAGAGCACCTGAGTCCCCGCGGGCGGGCGGCTCCGAGAATCCACCCTCCCGCTCCCTGCGCCCGCAGAACGAGTTTGTCAGGTCTCACCCTCTCGCTCCACCCCTGGTGGCTCAGGAGGGAGGGAGCCCATGGCCCCCTGCTCAGCGGTGGCCCCCAGCCCACCGCAGCTGGTGATGACTGAGCCTGAGGCCCTGCTGGGAGCTGCTCAGTAGAGCTGGGCACGGGAGGGGTCTGCCAGCTGCCAAGGTTGGCCATTGTGTCTATGTTAGGGTGACTTCACGCTCACATGGCTTGGTCTCAGACACCGGTCCTAGGTTTTGCAGTGGCCCTGGGTCACTCAGGACTGCGGTACAGGCAGGGAGAATGGGGGGGGCCAAAGCGAAGGGCCAGCCGTGCCTGCAAGTTGGGCGTGATGTGGAGCAGAGGTCCCTGCCCTCCGCCTCACCTGCGGCCATAGGGAGCCCATCCTCTTAGGACAGGCCGGGCGACAGTGTGCCAGCCCAGCCTGAACCTGCTCTCCAAGGCAGCTCTAATGCCAGGGCGGCTAACAGGTGGCCGGGGACTGGTGCCAGACCTTGGGCTCTAGTGACTGCCGCCGCGTCCTGGTGTCAGCCAGGGGTTCTCCGGGGGTGGCTGCCATCTGCGAAGCCCGTCACTCCCGTGGTGCCACCGCACAGCCTCCGTAGAGCTGCCCTCTGCCCTGGGCCTGCTCCCGCCTCCCTGTGCTGTGCAGCCCTTGCTTGAGCCCTCGGGGTGAGGAGGGACCCACAGCGACCACAGCCCGCCCTTCTCGGGCAGCTCGGACTGTAGAAGGCGGGGCCTCGTGCTGTGGTCACTTAGGACACCTGTGCCCTCTCTGCCTCGTCCCTCAGACCTGCGTCTCCTCCTCCACGTCATCTCTCTGGCGGTTTCGCCAGCGGCCCGCCGTGGCTCTGTCCTGTCTTGCATTTGAAGCTGCCCCCCTCCCTGCTTCGGCGGCGACTGATGTCTCCTCTGAGTCTCTCTCGTTACGTGAGGATGAGGTGCCAGTGTTTCGAGGCTGTGGGAGGACTGGCCACCTGGCAGCCCAGAGCCTGGCACAGGGAGGAGCCCAGCACACGGGACTCCCCCTGGGTGGGGTCTGGCCAGCGCAGGAGAGTTAAGGTGGCCTTTGGGGGTAGTGACCTTCCTCCAGCACCTGGGGAGTTTCATCTGCATCCTTCATTCTGGAAAGTTTGTGGCGTGTGAGGGGGAGGAGGGGAGGCAGGCTAGAGACGGAGCCGTTTTAAGTGATGCTGGGGTGG